CATGCAGGTGAGTCCCTGTGGATGGGGAAAAATTTGGGATGAAGCATCAGGGATGTGCAGGTGAGTCCCTGTGGAGAGGGAAGAATCTGGGATGAAGCATCAGGGATGTGCAGGTGAGTCCCCGTGGAGCAGGAAAAATTTGGGATTGGGATGAAGCACCAGGGACGTGCAGGTGAGTCCCTGTGAATAGGGAAAAATTTGGGATGAAGCATCAGGGACATGAGGGGGAGTCCCTGCGGATGAGGCAAAATCTGGGATGAAGCACAAGGGACATGCAGGTGAGTCCCTATGGATGAGGCAAAATTTGGGATGAAGCATCAGGGACATGCAGGTGAGTCCCTGTGCAGGAGGAAGAATCTGGGATGAAGTATCTGGAACATGTGGGTGAGTCCCTATGGATGAGGCAAAATTTGGGATGAAGCATCGAGGACATGGGGGTGAGTCCCTATAAAATTTGGGATGCAGCATCAGAGGCACAGGGGTGAGTCCATATGGAAGGGGCATAATTTGGGAGACGCCCTTGTGGACAGGGCACAATTTGGCAGCAGCATCAAGGACAGGGGGATGAGTTCCTACAAAATCTGGGACACAGCATGAAGGACACATGGATGAATCCCTGTGGATGGGGCACAATCTGGGACATGTGGGTGAGTCCCTATAAAATTTAGGATGCAGTTCAGAGACACAGGGGTGAGTCCCTGTGGAAGGGGCACGATTTGGGAGCGGCATCAAGGACAGGGGGATGAGTCCCTATAAAATCTGGGACACAGCCTGAAGGGCACAGGGGTGAGTCCCTGTGGAAGGGGCACGATTTGGGACATGTGGGTGAGTCCCTATAAAATTTGGGGCACGGCACAAAGGACATATGGATGAATCCCCGTGGATGGGGCACAATTTGGGGCATGGGGGTGAGTCCCTATAAAATCTGGGACACAGCCTGAAGGGCACGTGCCCCCCTGTGGAAGGGGCTGGATTTGGGAGCAGCCTCAGGGCTCTGCCGGCGCCGTCCCCCCCCCCCTCCCGGTGCTCGGCCACCCTTTTGTCCTCGGCACTCCGGGTGTCCCCTCATTTATCCAAATTACCTGGGAGGAATGAGGCTGCCAGGGGCCGGTTCTGGACGATTGGCTCCCGCCGGGGGGGCCGGGGGGGGACGGATGGCCCTCGCTTGAATTTGACCGGTGGGTGACCGTTGCCTTCCCGCTGACCCCGCCGGCCCATCCCGGCCCTTTCCCGGCTCTCGGGAGCTTTCCCGCGGGGATTATTAACGGGAGCCGAGCGCCGCCGAGCCCGGGGGGGGGGGTTTCATCTCCAAACACACCCCCCCCCCCCACCCCGCGGTGCTGAGCCCCGACCAAACTCATCACACATCGTGTTCATCACCCACGACGTTCAACACATCGCGGGGGGGGGGGCTCCAGACGAGCCAGACGGCCCCAAAATCCAGGGAAAATGCCACTAGATGTCACCACACGCCTTTGGCTCGGGGTCCGGGATACGGGAATACGCCCCCCCCCAATCCCCTCCTCCCTTCCTCCCTCCCTCCCCCCCCCAACCTCCCGCTTCCCTCCCCTGCTTTCATTGGAAGCAATTGAGGGAATTAACTTATCCGGTTTTATGGCCGGCTTGTCACATCCAACTAAGCCCACTTAAAATAGGAAGTCTCGCTGCATTCAAATAATTATCATAACGTACAAATCACTCAGCCGGGGGACAAGGGAGCGGGGCCGGGGACAGGGGAGGAGATGCCGGGGTTTTTGCTGGGATTATCACAGAATTCCAGGCTGGTTTGGGTTGGAAGGGACCTCAAAGATCACCTTGTCACAACGCCCTGCCATGGGCAGGGACACCTTCCACCAGACCAGGTTGATCCAAGCCCTGTCCAACCTGGCCTTGGACACCTCCAGGGATGGGGGATTGCTCTTCCCCCTCCCCAAATTCATTCCCTGTGTTTTAGCCCACCCATGGGGGTGTTTTGGGGTGATGAGGTGGGACACAGGCTGTAAATCTGTCACCCCCTGTCCCCGTTATCCCTGCAGCACCTTCCCAAATCCTGGTGATTTTGGGGTGCAGGAAGGAGCCTCCTCCCAGATCTGGGGGGGGCAAAGAGGAAAACCCCTGGGAGCAGCATTCCCTGCACTCCCAGTTGAAGGTACCCCCCTGTCCCCCACTATTCCTGCAGCACCAGGGCCTGATGAAATAAATGCTGGTGATCCTGGGATGCAACAAGGAGCCTCCTCCCAGATCTGGGGGGACAGAGAGGAAAACCCCCGGGAGCAGCATTCCCTGCACTCCCTGTGCTGGCACAGCCGAAGGGTGACTCCCAGAGGGGTGACACCCAGGGGTGCTGCCCTCGCCCACCCTCCCTGGAGGTGTTCACAACCCACTCAGTGCCCTGCTCTGCTTGACTGGGTCGTGATCGGTCACAAAGATCTCGGAGCTCTTTTCCAACCTCGACGACTCCGCAATTCTCCGACTGTTCCTTCCCCCCAGCTCCCGATGTCCACTCGGCCCCAAAACACTTTTCTCCCCCCCCTCTTCTGCTGTTGGAAATGTCAGGCAGGGCCGGAGCAGCAGCCGGCGAGTGCCCCGCTGGCACCAGATGGGTTTTTATACGAGCCACTATTTCATGTTCAGACAGAGCGGCCGCGCCGGCTTCGCCTCCGCCAGATTAACTCGGCGAAATTAATTGGGACAAGATTGAAAAGGAAATTAAAATGCAGCTGAGTGAACAGGCTTTTCAAACACCTTTCCCCTCCCCACCCTCGCCACCACTTCCCATCGCTGCCTCTCTGCCTTTTTTTTTCCTCCCACCCCACCCTGGAGCCGCATCCGGAGTAATTTACGGGGGAAAAGCTCCCAGGACCCATCGGTTCCGTGTGAGGGAGCCGGCACAAGAGTTGCAATCTGGAGCCACTGAAGAGAGCGAGAACCCTGCCGTGACTCCAAGCTGTGTCCCCGAGCTGGCACGGGGTGGGACACACACACACAGACACAGAGACACAGACAGACAGACAGATAGATAGACATACACAGACACACACACAGACACACGGAGACACACAGAGACACACACACACAGACACAGAGACACAGACAGACAGACAGCCAGACAGCCACACACACACACACAGACATACACACACAGACACACACACAGACTCAGACAGACAGACAGACACACACAGAGACACACACAGATAGAGAGACACAGATAGACAGACAGACAGCCAGCCACACAAACACACACACACACACACAGACACACACACAGACACAGACACACAGAGACAGACAGACACACACAGACATACAGACACACAGACACACACAGAGACACAGACACACAGACATACACAGAGACACAGATACAGACACACAGAGACAGACAGACACACACAGACATACAGACATACAGACATACAGACACACACAGAGACACAGACACAGAGACAGACACACAGACACACAGACACACACAGAGACACAGATACAGACACACAGAGACAGACAGACACACACAGACATACAGACACACAGACACACACAGAGACACAGACACAGAGACACAGACACACAGACACACAGACAGACACAAACAGACACACAGACACACAGACACACACAATCACCCCAGGGATGGATGTGGGTCACTTATGTCACTCCACGGATAAACCAGGAGATGGGCTGTGGGTGTGGGTTCAGTGGGGGTGTGGGTTCAGTGGGGTGTGGGTTCAGTGGGGGTGTGGGTTCAGTGGGGGTGTGGGTTCAGTGGGTTGTGGGTTCAGTGGGGGTGTGGGTTCAGTGCCCAGGGGGGGCAGTGAGTCTCTAAATGCTGCCCTAAAAGCTCCCTGGGATCCAGAGATGGGGAATTCTCAGCCTGCCAGGAAGGGCTGCTGAAGCCCAGGCTCCGAGTGGCTTCCAGGGACGCAGCTGCCTCCTGGCAGGGAGGTGGTAGAGCCGGCCCCAAACGCTCCTCGGAGCTAAAAATGTCTGTCCAGGGTGGTTGGGAAGCTCCAGGGAGGCAGAGGGGCAGCGGGGGGGCAGCTTGTGGGGTGCAAAGGGCATCAAAACACCAAATAAACGCAGCCCCCCGAGTTTGTTGCTCCTGTGCTGGATCAGGGCGCAGAGGGTGTTGGGAAACACCTGTAAAATGGGACCCTAAAGTTCACTGCTCTTCTCATGTCATACTGGGGTTCAAAGCACGTTGCAAAACACCACAAGCAAAGCACAGTCCCCCCAAACCCATCCTCGTTCCTGCCTCATGTCAGGTTGTAAAGCTTGTGGAAAAACATCCCCCATAAAACATGAACTCCCAAGTTCATCCCTGTTCTTGTGCCGGACTGGGGTGCCAAGGACATTGTAAAACACCTGTAAAACGTGACCCTAAAGGTCACTGCTCTTCCCATGTCACACTGGGGTTCAAACATGCTGCAAAACACCACGAGCAAAGCACAGTCCCCCCAAACCCACCCCTGTCCCTGTGCCAGGTCAGGGCGTGAAGGGCATCACAAAACATCCCCCATAAAACACAACCCCCAAGTTCATCCCTGCCAGGCCAGATCCAGCACAGACCAGCAGGGACCAGCTGGGAACTGGGACAGAGCCCTGCAGGGACACACACGGGGCAGCAGAGGGGTCACAGGCCCCTCTTGCCCCCCCTAAACCCGTTAATACAACCCCTTAATTTATTCAGCCCGAAGGGAGCCCCGGTCACACCCGGTTGAGCAACTCAATTACCCCTGGAATACCTGAGCAACAGCACGGCCTGACTCCATTCCCGGGCGAAAAAACAGCTAAAAATAAAATAATCTGGCTCTGGGGCATTGGAAATGTCTCGTGGGGTGGGGTGTGGGGTGCAGGGAGGAGGGAGTGGGATGCCGGGGTCCAGTTCCTTCCTCCCCCCGCTGATTTAACTCTGCCTCAAACCTCAATTTTGATCGATTTTGTCACGTTTTGACCTGGAAGTTGAGCCCCAGCCCCGAAGTGATGGGGTGTCCTACCTTGCTGAGGATGTAGATGAGGTCCCCCCGGTGGAAGGAGAGCTCGTCGGGGTGGTCCCCGCTGCAATCCCAAAGGCCGTGGTAATAATTGGCATAATCTCGTTTGGGATCTCCTGGGGGTAAAAAAAACAAAACCAGGGGGTCAGGGGGACAAGGAATGACATTTGGGGCCGTGGGGTGTCAGGGGAGAAGGGGTGGTGTTTGTTTAGGAAAGGAAGGAAGATTAATTTGGTTTCTTAATTAAAAGGTGGAAGACAAAGAGAGAAAGGGGCTGATCAATAAATAAATGCAACATTTCTCAATAAACGGATTGATAAACGTTTCAAATTTTAAATCAAGCCAAAACAGGAAGCAGAGATGCTCTCCACCCCTGTTCCCAGGAGAGAAGGTCCCAAACCTTGGGAATGATACACCCTGATGGCTCAGGTGTCCCTCTTCCCATGGGGCTGGGAGTTTGGGAAGGCAGAAGGTCTGTGGAAAGGGAAGGGAACGTGATCCAGCAACTTTATTTTCCCTTTTTTTTTTTATTGTAGAGAGGCAAATGTGTGCTGAAAGCCAAAGGGTTTGGGCTGATGGGGCTGTGGGAAGCGGTGCCAAGGCTGGGGGGATTAAATCTGGAGTTTCTGGAAAACTCCACGTTTCCAGAACAAAACATCTCCACCTTTGCCATCTCAGAATGGCACTTCTCGCCCCAAAAATGAAACATCTCCATCTCTGCCATCTCAGAACGGTGTTTTCCACCCCAAAAACTGGTTCAGAGACCAGAGCCCCCATGAAAGGGGTGGGGCAGGAATCATCCCACCCTGGGACGGACCCAGAGGAGCCCGTGCCGAGCTCTTCCACGGCTGCAGGAGATGGGGATTTATCCCGGCACAAAAACAACCCCAAACCCCCTCAGGTTCCCAGTTTTTCAAGGCCACAGCTGTTAAAAGATGCTCCTGGAGCAAAGGCTCCAGGCAGGAGAGTGCCCTGATGGCACAGCACCGAGGCTGGGGGCGAATCCAGATGTCACGACACGGACACATCCGTGATGTGACCCCCATGGATAATTAAAGCCGGTAAAACCAGGGTTTTAGGGGGGGGAGGATTTGAGCACGGGGGCTGTTCCAGCGGGTTGTGCTGCTCTGAACCAAGCCCAGAAAGCATAAATAGAAAATATTGAGCACATGTTGGAGGGAAATGTTGCTAATGTGGTCTCGGGGACGGAGCGATAAGGGTGCAGCTGGAATGCTGTGCCCAGATTGGATCACCTAAATATGAAAAAGGACATTACAGAGATGGGTAATGGCACAGCAGGGAGCAGCTGGAATGACTCAGGGACTTGGGGAACTTAAATAGAAAGGCTGGGCAGGAAAAAAAAAAGTAGGTCTGCATCCTTTGGAAAGTATTAAAGGGGGAGAACGCAGTGGCGAGGAAAAGATTGGGAAGGGAATAGAAGGAGTAGGAGCTACTGAGTTATTTAAGCTGGTGGTGAGGGCAGGAATCAGGGGTTATGAGCTGGAAGCAGAGGAAATATAGGGGAGCTGAGCAGGAGGATGAGGCCAGTGCAGCTCTGGGAAGAGCCAGAAAATTGTGTAATTAACACAAAAGGTCGTTAAGGGAGGGTGTGAGGACAATGTCACGCAGCAGAGAATAATCCGGGATGGGGGGGATGGCCTTGGCATCCCCCTGTGAGACAAGGATGGGGAAAGGCTTGAAATATAGCAGGAATATCCAAGTGTTCTATGGAACATCATAATTGACTTGCTGGCAAAGAGATTTAAACACAGTGGTAGAAAACACACAGCGGAACAGAAAATAGAAAATAGAAAATCCATCTTCCTCCAGGATGTTTCCAGAGCCACAAGTGCCCCTGGAGATTCCCCTGGGATGAGGACACGAGGATGTTGCTGGGAAGCTGGAGTCCCAGTTTCCCCTCCTTCACCAGGAATTAGGAGATGCTTCCTTATCCCACAGCTGCTCTTTCCTGCTCACCAGAGGAACGGGAGGACCTCGGAGCCATCCCACCCCATCCAGGAGGAAGGGGAAGCATCAGCCTGGATGTGACCCCCCCCTGACTGCGAAGGGAGACAATTTTCCAGCCCACAGGAAGAAGGTTCGTGCCCCCAGAAGTGTTTTTCCAACCGTGTCAGCTGCTGGCAGGGAAGATCCCACCCCTCCCTCCAACCCCTGCCTTCCAAAGGTCAGGATTTGTCGTGCCAGAGGAGGAAGATGCTCCCGAGGAGAGTGTGGCACTTCCTTCCCAGCACCAGCTTCCAAACCCACAGGGATCTTTGAGCCAGCGACCAGGGGTGTTGTGTTAAAATAAAGTAAAATTAAAATTCATTAAAATTATGAGTGTTTGCAGGAAAAGGGATCCCATTTTAACACTCCAAGGCCAGGCAAGGGAGAGTTTCCCTCTGCAGCTCCCTCGGGGGATGGTGGATGTCCATGATCCTCCTGATCCAGCTCCAGGTTGGGTGGGATGTGGGATCCACACAAGCCATCCCAGGGCTCCTGCATTGACTCTGCTCCCTTTTTACGGACAAAATGCTCCGTTTAAAAAGCCCCAGGCAGTCAATCTGTGATTTCCCTGCGCTGATTCGTCCGGATGGAAGCAGAGCTGCTCCCCCTGCATGGCCTGGGGGGGGGTCATGAAGGAAACCAGCCACATGTGACAAGTGCTCCCTTCCCCTCTGCAGCCCCGGGATGAGGCTGTGGGACAGGCAGGATCCATCCCAGTGCCTTTCCCTTGGGCTCCTTCCTTCTCCCGTTGATGCTGAACCCTCCTGACAAAGTGGCTGCAGCTCCGGGGTGTCACTGCTGGGTGTGACAGGGAGGGGACAGGGGCTGTGACAGGAATGGGGGCTGTGACAGGGACAGGGGCTGTGACAGG